GGCTGGGAAATGCCATTCATCTGTCTGTCAGGAGAGCATCACATCAATGGGGTGGCCTGCATTGAGGGCAGGTAGAATGGTATGGTTCAGGGGATTGGTGTGCATACTAGTTGCCCCTTCACTTTCTGACCAGCCAGGCTGCTTGCTCAGATAAGGGTCTGATAGGGAGGTTGAGGGGAAAATTATCCTTATCTGTACGAGGGTGATTGCCCATACCCACCAAATTCCCACTATTAAATTATAACCTTTATTAAGGAATTTATATAAAATAGTATGTTCATGATTGTACTTATATATATAACTATAGAGCAAGGAGTGCACACAAGTCGCAACATATGTGACCCCTGTTGTCGCAAATAACTTCATGCCTTGGTTTATCCAGTACATGTACTTGTAAATATGAGGATAAATTGTAGGTCCATCAGAGTTGACTACTGCTCTAAAAATAACCAACATTTACAATTGGTCATCTATATAGAAAGGGGGAGGACAGATATATTGGTATTCAGGGTTAGGAAAGAATCATCCATGTCCCATCTGCCTTATAATATTTGTCAGGTCCTCCTACCTATGTCAAGACCATATAATCTCTCTTACTACAGATATGTAATATGGGTACACTCATCCATGTGGCAATAACTTAGACAACTAATGGACGCGCCCCATACATCACCATAAACACAAACAGATCCTAACTGGCTGGTGGCATCACCATGTCTTACAACAATGTGTGCAATACTCCTTGCCCCAGAAAAATCTTTGTGGAGAAGTGACCATGTGTTTCCATAGAAAAGTGCTAAAAAAAGACAAAATAAAAGTACCAAACCCTACATGGTTTGCTCAAAAGCAGAGCTTCCTCAGGGACAATGTAAGGTGAAAAAGAAAATAAAGTGAGCAATAAAAAAATAATAAAGTGATCTTCTAGTAACATGGTGAGGAAATGGCCATTTTGCCATTTCCTCACCATGTGACCAGAAGATCACTTTATTATTTTGCGTGTTATTTAAAGGAACAGTGTAATTTGCAATATGAACTCTAAAGGGATTATTGTGGGAGAATAAAAAGATTTCCTGTCACCAGCCCATATATAGGGTTTGCCAATGAGGGAGAGAACTTTGCTCTCATTGAGGCACCTTGGCATTATATATAGTATTTCAGATCAAACATGAAAAAATTATGTTTCAAAAGAAACTCAACTGCCATGCACAAAAACTGTAATTCCATATTATTGGTACTATAGCATTTCTGTGGATTCTGTATCTGATACATTGTGTACCAATAATGATTTATATAAAGAAGCATCCAAGCTGCTGGTTTGAATCTTTAAGGACTTGGATTGTGAAAGTGAACACCCTAGCCTGAGCACTGGTTCTCTGCTCTTACACTCTTTAGTATAGCAGTTGAACTAGGGTGAGATTTATCTGCATGTTTAATTTTAATGTTGCCCCTAAAGCCCTATTAAATGATCTGCTCTCCTCTGGCATTTTTTAAAGGTTGTATTGGTATTTGTTCTCCAGAGAAGTGCTGTTTCCCAAGCCCTTTGTTTGATAATCTCTTGCCTATTAGCCAAAAAAAAAAATGAATTGCTACATGTCCCCAGCTCCCCATGCCCATGCCCTTTGACTTTACAGTCCCTTGCCTATTTGTCTTGAAATGGACATAATTGAATTTTATGATTAGTCTCCCCTTTACTTCAATAGGTCTGTATTAAAGATGCAATTTTGTGCATTTTTGGAGGTGTTCATCGAATAAAACCATAAATCTAACCCAACCAGATCACTTCATTACTAGTGATCAGCTATGATATCAGCCATGTGAGGGAAATAATGAACATAAGCACACTAGAACCTTTAGCAGCTATCAACAAAAACACATTTTTTTGAGGGTGAGTGGGGGGAAGAATAGAACCTCTGCCAGCTTATTATTTCTGTCTGTGTTGCTTTTGCATATTTTCGCTCCTGTCTTGTGAAACTATTATCAGTGGACAGACAGTGAAGATAAATGTTTCTGTAAGGGACCCGCCTGGCGGTACCACTAGCACTCCACTGAATAGGCGTCCCCAGCGCACGGAATCTAAGTCCCAGGGTGCTTGTTCACCAGGGCCCCTGATGGTGGGGATGGACTTGGAGCCCCCCCGAGACCAGGTCGTGACTACTGGGTGCGTCCGTCAGTGGTAGTGGTATGCGCCAAGGGCTCCCACGGGGAAGAGTCTGATATGAGGAGGTCAGAAGACCCCACTGCAAGGGATGGATGGATGGATGAGCAAGGTCAGACGGGCCGGGTCAGTAACAGAGAGGACGGCAAGGTACAAGGCAGCGGGCATAGAATGGTCGGGTCACACGCCAGGTCAGCAACAGCAGGTCAAATCCAATAGGGGGCATTCAGGAGAGAGGTCAGGCAAAGCAAGGGTCAGAATAGGAGAAAGCAGCAAGGTCAGTACAATCTGGGTCAAAAACTTGCAGGGTACAGGCTCACAGGATACAAGATGCAGGGAAGACCAGAAGGCACTGAATGACAGCTCTGGGCCATTTAAATATCCCGCCCTGCGCTGCCATTGGTGCCCAGCGGGCGGCGCCGCGGCTTCTACTGCGCATGCGCGAACTCGAACGCCGTGGCCGGCCCGGACCTAGTGCCCGTGTCCCTGCACAGGGCGGTGCACTGCGCCTGCGCCGGGACCATCGCGGTGGGGATCGAGGAGATCCCTGACAGTTTCTAACAAGTTTCATATACTGTAGTAGTAAACCTTAAATTGTTTCCAATCTCTCCCCACTCAATCTAAAACTAAGTAAAAGGTTTTGGCTTGACTCCTAGCTGAAAGTTTTTCAGCTCAAGCACTGGTACTTCTGTCAATGGGACAGCCATAGCCATTTCTCCACTTTCATGTGATTTGGGATGATCTCAAGGTTTAGTGCAATCACAAGTTTGGACCAAACTTTGGTTGCGTTCAGACAAAATGCCCAAACTTTTACCTGTTTGGTGGGACAACCAGCAGTGATGTCACTGACCCCATTCACTAACCATGGCTGGTAATCCCCAACCATGTAAAGCAAAAAAATCAAGAAATAAAGACAGTCAAATGTTTGACAAGTCCTTTATTAAAAAAAATAAAATCAATTGTAAAATGCGTTGTTCAGTGATGCAAATATACATCAATCCATACCAGACTCAAAAGGTCTGGTATCCATTTTGGGGGGATACTCTAAGAATTTTGTTTTCATTCTTAATGTAGCATGTACTAAAGCAAAAGTTACATTTGTAAAAAAAAAAAATCATAAAGTTTAAATTACCAGCAAACAACATCATTTCTGGCTTCTTAAAAAAAAAAAAATTTAAAAAAAATCAACTGCTCCTGGCTAATTTAATTTTTTATTTTTTATTTTACATTGGTTTCCCAGGGCAGTGCCCACCCCCATGCCATTTCTTACCCCCCCCCCTTGCCTATTAGCCCAGAAAATGTGCATTTTTGATTTGACAGAGCTTCTACTGATTTCAATGGGGTTTAGTTCAGATTTGGCATCCAAACTTTGCTGAACCCTGTTCAAATGGAACCCAAGCAATCTGCTCATCATTATTCAGGATTAGCCAAGAACTGTCACATGTGGCAAGGGAAAAAATTCATTCATAAAACGTCCATAGTTGTATGAGCAACAAGATTTTCCAAAGACTTTTTTTCATTGTCTTGGCAGCCAAATGAAACAGGGAAAATGAAACCCCATGTCAACAAGTGTTGAGCTTGTTTTGATGCCATCAGTTTAATATCAGTTTGGGATGCTTCTAAGTTGGGTGGGAGGGAGGGAGGGGAGGAGGTATTGGGTCAATACTCTGCATGACAGAAGGATAAAGAGGAAGAGGCAATCTGGAAGAGAGATGGAGTTAATTGGGAATGATGGAAGAAATACAGTTTATAACCTATAATGTGTCCATAAAGAGTTGTCCAGGGAAGAGATTTAGGTTGTTTAATGAGTTACATCATAGGGCTACGTCGATTTCGTGGAAAAAATTTTGATTCGAGTCGAATATATTCGCTGCGAATTTAACTTATAAAAGGGTGTTTCTAGGCTTCAGAGAGCCTTTATATTAGTGCAGAACACTGTACCTTTAATTTAAATGCCCTTGGAGTCTGCTGGGGAAGAGAAATAATACTGACAGTCAGTATGACATGCAGATGAGTGCCGTCGATCTTAGAATCACCGCACACTTCACTCATTTGGGCAGTCACGGGGCCAAAACCAGAGTGTGGAGCCACAGTGTGGCGGTGGAGGCAGCAGCAATGGGAGGCCATACAGCACCCTATGACAAAAATGGAAACCACCAGCAGTGTGAGGAGACCTGAAAGTGGCACATGGCAGAGTGTGGCGATGGAGACAGCAGCAATGGGAGGCCGTACAGGGACCCATGACACACTCTGGACCTGGCAGCAGCATGAGGAGGCGGTACAGGGGCCCATGACAGATTACGAGCCTGGCAGCAGCAACTTGGACAGGAGGACGTTCAGCTTCTGCACCGTCGGGTGCGTGCTCGCAAACTGTTGTCTCTTGGAAACATATTCCAAGAAAGACTGCTGACGGAATCCGTGAAGAGGAGTAGCAGGAGGGAGCATCTGAACGAGCGGAATATGCCAACAAGCGACAACAGGGGCCCATGACAGATTACGGGCCTGGCAGCAGCATGAGGAGTCGGTACGGGGGCCCATGCAGCAGATTACGGGGGGTCCATGGCAGATTACGGGCTGGCAGCAGCAATGGGAGGCCCCGCTTCTGCACCGTAATCTGCCAGCACCCTATGACAAAAAAATGGAACACACCAGCAGTGTGTGAGGAGACCTGAAAGTGGCACATGGCAGAGTGTGGCGATGGAGACAGCAGCAATGGGAGGCCGTACAGGGACCCATGAGAGACTCTGGACCTGGCAGCAGCATGAGGAGGCGGTACAGGGGCCCCATGGCAGATTACGGGCCTGGCAGCAGCAATGGGAGGCCCGTAATCTGCCAGCACCCCTATGACAAAAAATGGAACACAACAGCAGTGTGGGGAGACCTGAAAGTGGCACATGGCATGAGACACTGGGACCTGGCAGCAGCATGAGGAGGCGGTACAGGGGCCCATGGCAGATTAGGGCCTGGCAGCAGCTATGGGAGGCCCGTAATCTGCCAGCACCCTATGACAAAAAAATGGAACACCACCAGCAGTGTGTGAGGAGACCTGAAAGTGGCACATGGCAGAGTGTGGCGATGGAGACAGCAGCAATGGGAGGCCGTACAGGGACCCATGACACACTCTGGACCTGGCAGCAGCAAGAGGAGGAGGTACAGGGGCCCATGGCAGATTACGGGCCTGGCAGCAGCAATGGGAGGCCCGTAATCTGCCAGCACCCTATGACAAAAAATGGAACACACCAGCAGTGTGAGGAGACCTGAAAGTGGCACATGTTTGGGGCATGATTCATGGCGGATTTAGTCAGTTGTGTCAGGAACTGGTGGTTTGAAATCCAGACTAATCCACGCCTGATTCATTTTCACAAACGTGAGTCTCTCCACACTTTGGGTGGACAGTCGTGTCCTCCGCGGAGTTACAATACCTCCTGCCGCACTAAACACGCGCTCCGATGCCACGCTACTGGCCGGGCATGACAGCCTTTCAAGGGCAAATTCAGCTAGTTGGGGCCAAAGGTCAAGTTTCATTGCCCAGTAGTCAAGGGGATTGTCTACCTCGGTTGGCAGGGTGCTGTCCAAGTAGGCCTAAGCCTGTTGTTTGAGGTCCTGCTCCAGGTCCACCTGATGCTGCTGCTGCTGCGGCTGGTTAGTAGTTTCCTCACTGCGCTGGTGAAGAAAGCTACTCATCATCGACTGCAGACTGAGGCAGCCGGCTGCTGGTGGAGCTGCCACTGCTCCTACCACCCCACCCCTCCCGTGCTGCCATGGCAGCGGAACGCGAGCGCACAGGGCCCACAGTGTCTGAGGATGGACGTTGGCGCAGAAAGGCAGAGACCAACTGACTACATAGGTGGTTTTTATAGTACGAGTTATTTTGGCCTCCCTCTCAGCAGGTGTGAAAAAGGCCACCATTTTTGAACGGTAGCGAGGGTCCAACAAGGTGGACAGCCAAAAGTCATCCCTCTGTCTGATGGTTATTATTCGGCTGTCGAGTACGCAAGCAAGCGAGCATGCTATGGGCCATTTGTGCCAAGGAATCGAGGACCTCCCTGCCTCCATCTCCACAGCATACGGCCACGGCGGCCCATGGTCAAAAAACTCCACTCCCCCCTCCCACCTCTACCAATGGTGTGGCACATGGCAGAGTGTGGCGATGGAGACCAGCAGCAATGGAGGCGGTACTGGGACATGAAGACAGATGTGGACCTCGAAAACAGCAGCATGAGGAGGCTGGTAAAACGGGCCATGACGGAGATTAGGAAAAAAACCTGGCGAGCAGCAATGGGGAAACCCCCGTAATCAAAAGACCGCACTTATGCGCAAAATGGAACCCAGCAGACAGTGTGTGGAGACCCCCAAAGTGAACATGAAGAGTTTGTGGCGATGGAGGACAGCAGCCCAATGGGAGGCCCAACAAAAAACCAAAACGCATGAGACAATGGGGACCTGGCAGAAGCAGCTAAGAGGATGGCGGTCCAGATGCGCGCACATGACAGTATTACGGGCCTTGGGCATGCAGCTATGCACTGATGGGGGGTTTTTTTTTTTTTTTCAGGAACGGACGGCCAGATTCATCTGCAGACCGTACTGGGGCGTGCGCGGTGCTCGCAAAACATGTTGTCTCTTGGAAACGTATTCCAAGAAAAGACAGCAGACGGAATCCCGTAGAAGAGATGAGTAGCAGGAGAAGGTAAGCATCTGAGAGCGGTAATCATGCCAACAAAACACCAAACAGGGGGGCCCATGGAACTCTGACTTTGGGAGCAGCATGAGGGGGCGGGATAGGGGGGCCCTGGGAGATTCCTGCACACTAAAGGAGGGCCCCTAATCTGCCACACCCTAAAACAAAAAAAACACACCACATTTTGGGAGACCAAAGTGGGACATGCAAGACTTGGGCCGCAGCAGCATGAGGGGCGGGAAGGGGCCCCTGGCAAATTAGGGGGCCCGGGAGCAGCTATGGGAGGGCCCTAAACGCCACACCCTATTTAAAAAATTAACACCCCCACATGTGAGGGGAACCTAAAGGGCACATGGCTGAGAACCCTTTGGGCCTGGCAGCAGCAAAAGGGGGTAAGGGCCCATGCAATTGGGGGCCCGGCAGCACTATGGAGGCCCTAATCTGCCCGCAACCCATGCAAAAAATAACACACCACATTGTGAGGAACCTAAATGGGACAGGGAAGGGGCGATGGAAGCAGCAATGGGGGGCCCTACAGGACCCATGAAACCTGGACCGGCACAGCATGAGGAGGCGTAAAAAGGGCCCAGGAAATTTTGGGGGCCGGGAGCAGCTAGGACCCAATCTGCCACACCCAAAACAAAAAATTAACACACCAGCATGTGAGAGACCGAAAGGGTGGCAAACATGGGCCCAAAGGGGGGAAAACTTGAACCTGGGGGCACAGCATGAGGGGCGTAAGGGGCCCATGGGAGATTAGGGGGCCCGGAAAACAGCTATGGGGGCCGAATCGCCAGCACCCTATAAAAAATAACACCACATGGAGGAACCCAAAGTGGGACATGGCAGATGTGGGGATGGAGACAGCACAAAGGGGGGCCGTACAGGACCCATAAGACTCTGGCCTGCAGCAGCAAGAGGGTAAGGGGCCCATGGGAATTTGGGGCCTGGCAGCACTAGGGAGGCCCGTAATCTCCACCCCCTTTTTAAAAAATTAACACCCACAGTGTGAAGACCTAAATGGGACATGGCATGAGAGACTGGGACCTGCAGCAGCAGAGGGGCG